AGTTCTTGCTCATTTACATTTTTAAATATTTATTTCTCTCTCTAAGATAGTGTGAAATTAACCAAGTTGCTAAATCAAAATCAATTAGTGTAAAAGAACATCAACCTTCTAAGATCGTTTTCAAGACGTTTTTTTTATCAAAGATGGTGGATGATGAATCATAGAAAGTAGAAACTTTAATTAAGTTAGAAGAAAGTGTGTACAACAACATAAAGACGCTATGACATAATCAGAGTGAACTCTTAAGAGCTTCAAAATTGTTGGTCTTAGCACACTGATTGCAACAACCGAATCACATGAGCAATCCTTCTGCGTTGTTAAGAGCTTCTTTCGCTTTCCTGAATTTCCCAGAGATCGCCTTATTAGTTTTCACAACATATTCCTTCACAAAGAACTTGATGCCATCGCGCAGACCTTCATAGTCTGGATTCAAGGCTATGCGTGTGAACAAGTTCCACACAAGATTCTCGGGGTGCTCAAAGATGGCCTCAAACAGCATTCGAAAGTGCATAATTCGTTTTGGAGTTAACTCCACTGGATTTGCCAAGTCCACGGATTTGAGGACCGCAAGAGAAAGATTGAAGGTCACAATAATCTCTGCCACAAATTTCGCAAGATGCATCGATCTCTGAAGTGACATCGACTCTAGTTCTTTATAATGGTCCCAAATGCAATACTGCAGGAAAAAACCCACAAGATGATAAGAGAAAAAAGAATGGTTACATAAACCGGCTTCGTAACTATAAGATAGTAGAAAAGTACCTGCAGTGTAAACTTATGATTTTTGTCGTGCTCGCACAACTTTGAAGCAAGGACTGTGTAGTACTTGTTAAATGCTTTCTCCTGTAAACAGCACTCAACTAGAACCCTCATGATCTCTCTGTCCTGTTTTCCTGGCAAATCCAATCTAAGAAGTTTCTCGAATGCATCAATGTAGTCCTCACTACTCATGATCACACAAAATATAGCTTTTCTGGAATCTGTATTCATCCTCTGTGCTTCAGCTAGCTTTAACATTTTCTGAGCCTCAACAACCTCTGCATCCATTGTTTCTGCTACATCTTCAGCGGTGTGTGAGTCAACCACCAAATCGCCAGATATCCACCACTGACCCTTCTTCTCGGGGTCAAGCAGCTTGCTCCATGTAAGCCCTCTTAACAATACATCTTCCACTCTCAACTGGGTAAATTATACAAAAAAAAGGACAAAAACAAATGCATTTTACTCAAAACTAACTAATCCAAAAGCGACTGGTAATAAGCAGAAGCGTACATGTTTATGATTGTCATGAAGGAGTCCATTTTATAAGGAATAGAGCGCTAAAATATTACCTTTTGAAGCCACTTCTTTACCCTTGTGTTCTGGACGGAATCCTCTTTAGCTCTCAACTTGTTGTTCTTTATTGCAGAAATGGTTTCAAGCATCTTTTCCATCTGCAAATTCATTGTACAAATAACTTTAAAAATCATAGTATAACATTTTCTCCAGAAGACAATTTTTCATATAATCCATACCATCATGTTACTCATTTGTGTCTGGCCATCGGAGGAGGTTTTCAATTCATTTGCCTTGTTCTGGATGCTGATGATGAATGTTTTCATAGCCAAAGGATCATCACTTCTTATTTTCATTCCACAACCTATCCAGAGCATTATCAAGATATGAGAGACGGAACATAAACATCTCAAAAAACCTTAAGTGGCCATCGAAAGATAATAATGATAATAATAGAACTTACAATCTAAAACAGTTGTGATAGTGAAAGCATCAACTTTAGTCAGCCGTTTCCCCAATGTCATTAGGAAATCATAAATAAGATCACTGCAAAACAAATATAGAGAGATTCGAGATTCATATTTCATCCAAGAAAATAACCAAAAATATCATTTTTGTTTCTGTTAAGTGAGAGGACTAGAGATTGGGTTGGGTGTTGGGTAAAAACATATTAAACAAATCGCTGTAAGAAAAACTAAAATCCATAATACATGAAAATCACTCAAATGTGTGTTTAGATTATCGGTCTAACAACCTGATAAGTAAACAGCATTCTTGGTTCAATTCTAGAAATTTAAAAACAGTGGGGAATAACTACACTTGCTCTAGATCAAACTGAACTATGTGTAGCTGAAGAAAATTTTACCTGGAGCAAACTCCCAATATGCAAAGATAAGAAAGCAAAAGAGAAATCCCATTTAAAGAGAGACTGTCTTCTTTCTGATATTCATCCTGAAAATAAATTAAGGACTTGTTAGTAAGCACTATTTCAAGCAAGGTGGTGACATATATTGTGGAAAACAAAATCTTAAACAAAATCGAGAATTTAGCTTACAATTCATGTAGGAAGAACTCAGGGACATACCTCGAAAGATTTAGCAAGTGATGCAATAAGCTTTGCACTAAAATCCATTCCAACTAGACACGCCATGCCAGCTATGAAAGAAGCAAATACAGCGTACCTAAACAAGGAAAAACAAATTGTTCAGCAATATCTCGACTAATATGGACGTCAATGTATTCAAGTAGTTCCACACATGACTATAGGGCTAGCAGTAACATGAGCGGACACTCAGAAAGTTGTAAAGATCTTAACTGTTCATTGCCTCTCGCATAAGTTGTCAAAACTTCTTCACAAAAAATCTGATAGGACACACTTCTCGCAACAGACTGCATTAACAAATGCTACAGGGGTTACAAGAAGTAAAGATAATATGAAAGAACAATAACAAAATGGAGTTGAAGCAACTTCAACAATGAAATCTAGGATGATTTGATAATCTCAAGATATCAACCATGCAGCTATCAAACAATTCTAGAGGAAATAATGCGAAGGATATTTGAGCTTACACGATATATTGAGGCAAGTTCTGCAGTTATTGTTTCAACATTGGATTCAGCCATCTTATTGAGAAGACCTGTAACACAAACCAAGCATATCAAACTAAGATTACAGAATTAGAAACACACAAAGGATAAAAAGCTTTTGTTAGCTATACCTTTTATCCGTGTACGCATTTTAGTGAGTTCTTCAGATTCACTTTTGGCCTGAGATCTCAAATGAGGAGCAACATACTTGCTGCTACTCTCTGGCTTATGCTCGTGCAAAGGAGGTTCTACTTTCTCCAAGCTTGACGGTGAATCGTGATAAGTAATAGTCTCTGACTCACCATCACCTGTGATATTCATCGGATCACTTTCTAGATCTTCATCTACAGACTTCTTCTTCTTATGCCGTTTACGGTCTCTTTTTCCTGCAGGCTCTTCAGAAAAATCAGATTCTTCACGCTCCAAATCTTCATTTGGTAGCTTATCGACATCCTCATGGTCATGTTTTTCTTCGGATCTCTTTTTCTTACGTTTCTTACGAGAATCACCAAGTTCAGATTCCATCGAATCAAGTACAGATGGAAGTCCTTCGAACAAATCGTTCAATCCATCATCCAAGCCCCTTAGTTTTCCTTTCTTTACCTTGAGCTTCTTTGCGAGCCTTCTCTCAAGTTCAGCATCCTGGTCACCAGATATCACAGTTGGTGTATCCATTTCAAGAAACTCTTCAAATTTAGTCTTCTTCTTTGGTCTATTCAGATCCTTCATTCTCTGTACTCTCTGCATCTTCTTCTCCTTTGATTTGACTCTAACCTCTTCTTTCTTATGTATAAAAGACTTTCCATCATCCTTGTTTCCGCTAGGCCTACTTGATTCCATATGTTCAGTTTCACTATTACTTATCTGTTGAAAATTTTCAGACTTGATCACCTCACCAGTCTTCTGAGCTGATGATGAGACTCGTTTCTCCTTTTCGGACTTCTGAGATCCAGCAAACCAACATTATCCATCAACAAACAATTAAACAAGAAAACTACACCTTAGTTAAATAAAACAAAGATTGGCTCATACCTGACGCTGAAGCCAAGATTCATGTTTTTTCTGGTTCTTCTGCAAGCGAGCTTCTTTTCGCTTTTCATGGCGTGAGCTCCCTGGCGATCATCAAAAACAAATAAAAGGAGTTTTCTTCAAAATACTAGCTCCAACAGAAAAATAGCTAAGAGCATTACTAAGACAAAATATCAGCTTACCCATGTTTAGCTGGCCCAATAGATTCTCTGCAAACACCTAAAGAAGATAAAAATTAGAACTTTAGCATTAAGCTGAATAAGTTACAGTTTTATATAACACTGACTCCGAAATCATTGCAGTTGTAGAGCTAAACCCTAGTTTTATTAAACCTTAAAACTTAAGCATTCACAGCAATTCAACAAAACAATGAAACTACGCCGACAATGTAAGTTTCAAAATCTATAATTGCACAAAACTAAATTGAAAACGCCACTTAGAAATCGAAATAATGATCAGCAGACCCAATGTAGAATGAAGCAAAGCAAAGAAGAAATCGACAGAATCCAAATCAAAAATCCACATAGAAAGATGGAGCAATACTTGAAAGACGAGAATTGATTCGAATCTTGTTCGTGTTGGCTCTCTCTATCGCTGTGATTAAAGGAAGTAGGAAACGAAACCTGAAAGGAGTGGGTTTTTTAAATTAGGGTTTTTGTGGAATTTTTAAAGTTATAACGAAGATGGAGAAACAAAGCCCGCCAAGTTATTGGGCCTAAAAACCAAGATGCCAAATTTTTGGCCATTTCGTTTTCTTTACTTCTTTTGTGGTTGATGTTTACTCTAAACTAAAACCAAACACAACGTGAAAATTTCTTTTGTTTATAAACTGCGTGTTGTGTCCACAAGATTGAAATTATAAGACCATGTACACCGGTGAAACAAATAGAGTATCAAAAGCCCAAATATATTTTTTTAATGGATCAGACACAATTTTTGGGCTTGATCCGTATCACTGGGGTGAGACTTTTGATACCCAGTATCATTGACGTGGCGGCTTCTTATTGGTTCCGAAAACGAGTTTCTTTTTCTAAAAACAGGAAAAAAAAAAAAAAAAATTCTCATTCTTCTTTTCTCGCTAACCCTAGAAACGCGATAGAGAAAACGATTTCTTCTCCTCCGCCGATCTCCTGCCTCCGCTCCCTCCGATTCTTCTCCGGTTTCATCTCCGGTTTCATCTCTTCGATTCTATTTCACCTCTCCGTTTCTTCTCCGGCTTCATCTCCTCGATTCTATTTCACATTTCCTCGGGCGATTTTCGATTTCTTCTCACCTCCGCCGATCCTAACGAGCTTTGATTTGTGCTTCTCTCCTCTCCTCCGCTCCTTCTGCTGTTAAGGCCAGTAATAAGCCTTTGAAAGGTATGAACTTTGGTTCCCTTTTACCTTAAATGCTTTGGTCTTGTCTTTCTCTGTTACATAACGAGTTTGGTCTTGAAAGTTTGCATTTTTATATCTATGTTTCTCCTTCTGATATGTCTGATGGAAGTATTTGTGTAATTTGTTTGTCTCATGAACCCGTAAGATTGGTTTGGGAATATAGGTCTTAGAATTCGATAGGTGTTATTTGTCTATCTCTGTAGTATATTTCAATCATGAATTCAAAACCTTTAATGATGAGATTGAACGTTTTATTGATAAAAACTTTGTTTGCTGCTTCTCTTTAGGTAAGAGGGAGCCTGAAGATGATGTTGATACTAAAGTGAGTCTTAAGAAGCAGAAGGAAGACGTGATTGCTGCTGTACAAAAGTAAAAAGCTGTGAAGAAGGTGACTAAGAAGGTTGAGAGCTCTGATTCATCAGATTCTGAATCTGAGGAAGATGAGAAGGTATAACTTTTACTATCTTAATTTATTTTTGTTGGTTTGAGCATGTGAATTGAGTTATTTCTAATCAGCTTTAATACATCTGACAGGCTAAGAAAGTTCCAGCCAAGAAGGCTGCAACCAAGAAGCATGCTGCGGCTGCTGCTAAAAAGGCCAAGGTCTGAGAGTTCGTCTGAAGATGATTCATCCTCTGATGAGGACTCAGATGATGATTCTGAGGATGAGGTGATAAATTTTTCTGTTTGTTGATCACTTATTTCACTTATGAATTGTGTTTTACTATTACTAAAACTAGTTGTATTTGTTTAGTTTAAATAGAAGGCTGTTGCTACCAAGGCTGCAAGCAGTTCAGATTCATCTGATGAAGATTCTGATGAGGTTAGCTTAACATATTTGATTTGATAGTCTTAAAATTCTTTTCAAACAACTTTGTATTTTCTTTATATCAGTCATTGACATCATCCATGTGTCTGTTGATATTTGCAGGAAAGTGAAGATACTACTGAATGTCTTCATGGTGCAATTGTTGTGGAGAAGATGCGTAGGTGAAAGGTACACTCCTAAATTGCTTTAATTGTTAATTTCTGTGTGTGTAAAATTGAATTGAATTGAGATTAGGAACAATGAAATTAAATAGAAACTGACCACTTTAATTTAGTAGAGATTAGATAGATGTGGTTGAGAATGTAGTTGTCTTTAAATGAATCAATGAATACAGAAAAAGTAGATAGTGAATTTATTGTGATCTCTTTAACAATAGTTTCTCTGAAGTTTAATGTATTTGTGGCGTTGGTGATGAGATGGAGTGAATTTAAACAGAAAAAAAAAATTAAATGCAACTGAACTTAAACTTAAAGTTCAATAAAATGGTGATGAGACATTAGCCATCTAAATTAAAGTTATGTTGATGGCTAGTGTCTCAGTAACTTGAATTAGTATTGTGTTTGTTATTTATTGAGGCTTTTCCTTTATAATGTCGACAATGAGAACTAAACAAACCACTTAAACTCTTCTAAAACACAAAATGGCTTCCAACTTAAACTATTCCTCCTCTCAATCCTTCACCAATCTCTTGTTTAGCCAAGAAGATAACCCAACGCCTCTCAGTCCTTCACAGCCTCCTTTTTCTGAATCCCAAACACCCACATCCTTAGCTAGGGCGTCTAGAGTGAGATGGAGTGTTCCTGAAGAGAAGGCACTTGCAAGTGCCTGGCTCAACACATCCAAAGACTCTGTTGTGGGGAATGAGCAGAGATCAGCTGCCTTTTGGGATAGGGTTGCAGCATATTATGCTGCATGTCCTGCTGTCTCTAAGCTCACCATCCGAGAGCCAAATACTTGTAAGCAGAAATGGCAAAAAATGAATGAGCTTGTGATGAAGTTTGCAGGCTGTTATGAGTTTGCCTCTCGGACTCCTCGCAGTGGAGAGAATGAAGATGACATTATCGTGCTGGCCTACAAGCTTTACCATCAAGATCAAAAAAACAAATTTAGTCTTGAGCATGTTTGGAGAATCCTCAAGACTGATCAGAAATGGTGCAATTGGTGTGAGACCAAACTTCCTGCCAAGAAGAAAGCTAAACTTTCATCTGTAGAAGAAGAGAGTCTCCAAAGGCCTATAGGTGTGAAGGCAGCCAAGGCTTTAGCCAAGTCTAAAGGTAAGGGAAAGAGTGAAGGAGGAGCTGACGCTAGTTCTGCTGCTGAACTTCAGCTTTTGTGGGAAGTGAAAGAGAAGGATTTGGCTTTCAAAGAGAGACTCTCCAAGCAGAAGCTACTTGACAGCCTTCTTGGAAGGTCTGATGGATTGAGTGAGATGGAAATTGAACTTAAGAACACTCTTATCAAAGAGTATCTGTCTGGAAGCAATGTGTTTGTTTCTGAGAATGAATATTCTGGTCTTTAGGTATGTGTTGTTAGTTAAGTTGTTTTGTTTACTTAATATGTCATATGATTTGATTTTCTTTTGCTTAATTATGTGCAGGCCCTCCTCTTGGAAGCTAGTGATGTCGGCAAGGAATGGATTGAGTGGTTCTTTTGCTTTATTGTAGTGTACTGTGACTGTTTTTACTCGGATGTACTTTGTAAGCAGAAGCCACTTGTTTTTTGTTTTGGTATGGCACAATGTATGGTCGGCAAGTGGTTGTTTTTCTATGGTCAGAACCTAGTTGTTTTTATTTTGTATTGTATGAATGAATGTATTATTTTCGACAATGTATGGTCGGCAATGTTTTACTTTATATTGTATGATGCACAATGTATGATTTTATATTCTCTTATATATATGTCTTTGTGTTCTCATATTTCTCAATACAACTCTCATAACGATTCTTCCTCTTTCTCATATTCCTCTAAAAACAAGTCTTTCTTCTATTTCTCTAAAAACAAGTCTCTTTTATTTGTTTGTTTTCTCTAAAAATATTTCTTTGTTTTTTTTCTCTATAAACAAGTCTCTTTTATTTGTTTTCCTTCTCTAAAACCAATTCTCTTTCAATTGTTTTCCTTTTCAAAACACAAATCTCTTTTTATTTTTTGTACGTTTTGCTTCTTAAAAAGTAATGGCATCACATTCTCATGATCATGACTCTTTTGATGATATTATAGAGGAAAGGATTGAAAATTGTTTTGAAGATGGTTTAGATAATTACAGTAGACGTATAGCGGGAAAAAAAAAGAAAAAAAGGGCTGCTAATATAGAGAGAGATCGGGAAGAAGGAAATATTCGATTATGGAATGATTACTTTTCGGATGACCCCGTTTACCATGATCGCATGTTCCGACGGCGATTTCGAATGACCAAGCCGTTGTTCGTTCGTATTGTTCAAAGTCTTTCTCAATTTCCATATTTCCAACAAAGGGAGGATGCTACTGGGAAGCAAGGTCTATCTGCCCTACAGAAATGTACTGCCGCAATTAGGCGTCTGGCATATGGTCTTGCAAACGATGCGATGGACGAATACCTCCGCATGGGCGCAACCACTGTGAGCCAAGCACTAGAGAATTTTGTAGATGGCATAATAAATTTATTCCAAGATGAATATTTGAGGCGGCCTACACGTGAGGATCTAGAACGATTACTTCATTCTGGAAAGGAACGTGGATTTCCGGGAATGGTAGGAAGCATTGACTGTATGCATTGGGAGTGGAAGAATTGTCCTACGGCTTGGAAAGGACAGTATTCACGCGGACATGGAAAACCCACTATTGTTTTAGAGGCCGTGGCATCACAAGATTTATGGATTTGGCATGCTTTTTTTGGGGCTCCAGGTACGTGTAATGATATAAATGTTCTTGACCGCTCACCGGTGTTTGATGATATATTAGAAGGTCGAGCTCCACGACTCACGTACGAAGTCAATGGACATCAATACAAAATGGGTTATTACCTCACAGATGGTATATATCCGAAGTGGGCAACATTCATCCAATCAATTACCTGCCCACAAGGACCGAAAGCATCATTATTTGCTAGTTGTCAAGAAGCAGTGAGAAAAGATGTCGAGCGTGCTTTTGGAGTCTTGCAGGCTCGGTTTGCTATTATTCGAAACCCAGGTCTGTTTTGGGATAAAGAGCGAATGGGCAAGATAATGAGAGCATGTATCATATTGCACAATATGATTGTAGAAGATGAACGAGACGAAGATACTCAGTTCGATTTATCTGATTTCGTAGAAGGCGAAGGAAGCGGGACTTCTCAAGTAGACAACTCTTTTTCTACAGAGACAGCTACAAATGTGAACAATTTGATGGCCAATCGAGCTCAAATACGTCATGAACAAACACATCGACAATTGAAAGAAGATTTGATTGAACATATTTGGCAAAAATGGGGCCAAGGTAATTGACTACAAGCGACTAAATTATTTTTATCATCATGTTTTTTTTCATTTTTTTTGAATTTTATGTTTTATTTTGCTTTATATTCTACGTTTTTTTTTTTTATTGTAATATTACATTTTGTAATCCTATGTTTTAATATATTTATTTTTGATTTTGCAATTTTTTTTTTTTTATGATAATTAAACCAGTCTCACCAATGCAAACATATTTAGTAGGAGTATCATAAAAAATCTCAAACAATAAACAAACATTATAAATAATACTAAAAAATTCCTAATGATACTAAATGGGTATCACCCATGTATATGCTCTAACAAATGAAATTATAAGCTGGTGGTCCAACATAACCTTATAGACATTAAGCGTACCAAACAGTGCATGCTGATTCCTCTTTCCCTAGATATAGAGATGAGACCCATATCAGCTAGGGTTTGTATCCCTTTCTCCACGTCCCAATCCTTCTCCGAAAGCGAGAATATGGCGTCTTTCACGTTCACACCAAAGCTTATATTTTCAGTTAACAGATTAAATAATGTTTTGTGTTTCTCAGATAAACCATCATATGCATATCTTATTGCTTTCTCAATTTCCTTGTCGTCAATATAAGTTTCGAGTTTAGCTGGTGTCATTAGCCACTCCTCTTTGCTCTTCCCACGTAAAGCCGATCCTAAAACCTTGAGACCAAGTGGAAAAGGAGCAACAAACTGCGCTACTTCGATGGCGTGCTCCATGTAACCTCTTGGTGGAGAGCTTTGCCCAAACGCAGAGTATGAGAAGATTTGTTGAGCTTCTTCGCTTGATGGGAAAGCAACTTTGTATATCTGATTGATCTCGTTCCTCCGAAATGTATTTAGATTTACATTCGTCACAATAACCTTACTTCCGAATCTAAGACCCTTAATTAGATTTCCTAAAGCTTGTAGCTCCTCGGAACAGGCATCATCAAGAATGAGAAGGACTCTCTGGTGCTTTAACCTAAATTGCGCCTCTTGTAAGTCGGGTATCTTCATTTCCCGATGATCTAAAACTCCAGAGAGTATCTCTTTTTCCAAATGGTTTTGCAAGCCAATGTGGTCAAGTGTGAGCAATATCCTATGCGTTTCCTCAAGATTCTCCTTATAAAATTTAAGCTGGAAGTTGCAAGACACTTCTTTGTATAAAGCTCTAGCTATAGTGGTTTTGCCAATACCAGCAGGACCCCATATTCCCACTATCTTAACCTCATCGGATTCTAAGCATATCATTGATTTCATATTTTCTACATGAGTTTCAATTCCAACTAACCGATCAAAGTCTGAAGACGGTAACTCGTTTAAAACATCCATGACGATTTTCGAGATCATCGCCGCTTCACTAGCCCTACAAAAGACAGTTTCATATGAAGTGAGGACAGGACACTATTATATCTCGATACAAAACCTAAAATAACTTCACCATAATGAAAGTTGGAATAACTTCATTACGAAAACAGTATATATTACCATGAAACAGAATGTTCTCCAGCAATAACCGCAACTTCAGTCAAAGCTTTTCTCCATCTCTGCTTTTCTTCCTCTGTCTTCCCATCACAAGTTTCCTCAAAGACTTTCCCGAAATCTCCAGTCTGCTTTCTCACATCAGACGGATCCACATCGTAGAAGATTGTCATAACAGTCTGTCCTAAAGTAACCCTGCACTCTAAAATTAACTGCAACTCGTTTAGACACCAGCTCGAAGAGGCGTAGTTCTTAGAGAGGATCACGACGGCAATCCTTGACTCCCTAATAGCTCTTACGAGCTCAGAGTTGATAGAATCGCTCCTCATGATCCCATGATCTACGAACGTTTTGATTCCCTTGCCTTTCAACCCTTCAAGAAAGTGGCTGAGAAAGCTTCTGCGGACGTCTTGACCGAAAAAGCTTGGGAAGACGTCGTAACTGTATTGACGTGTTGATGATGATGGTGAAGAAGGAGGGATGAAAGGATGAAGAAAATTGTAATCATCAGTTCTTGATTCTTTCAAGATCGACTTGAGAATTCCTGCGAAGAACATGTTTTTTTTTCTTTGTAACTCTGAGTGTACGATGACCAATAATCAGAGCCGTGTCTAGATTAACAGAGGCTGGAGGCGAATAAATTAAAACAAAATTGTGTTATTGTAAACATTTTGGCAATCATCAAAACTAAAACAGAGCAACAATAATTATCTTAGTTGTCTTTTATTTTCTTGTCATTTAAATCAGATTTTTTTTAATCAAATTTATAGCCAACACAAGTATATATTTGTACATAGTTGGTCTCTTCAACAAAAAAATATATTTTCAAAGTTAAGGGCTTTCAGAAAAAGAAGTATACTTATCTTTCAAAACCTCACTATCTATGTTTTGTCATCTCTGTTTATGGTTTGTATAATTTTGAAAAATCCATCTCGATTATTTCTTCATATACATACTTGAATAAAACCATGACATGTTAATTATGCATTTTGATAATTTTTAAGAAAAATTGGCCGTAGGACAATGTTTACTTTTAATTTACATAGGGCGGCCAATAATATATTTGAAGAAGACTTTTGGACTTGGTATTCGCCTACGTGAATAGGTTCTACATAATATAAGAGCCCCTACAATTGATTAATCTTGTACGTGCTTACACGTTTTCAAATTTCAGCTGATGTTCAATCAGTAAAATATGACATTGCAACGTTCAAAATCTTGCAAGAAAAGAGAGTTTTAATCAATAAACTTTAATTTGTTTCTAAAACAACCAGTTTTACGGTTAGATAATGGACTATGGAGTATTCCAGTTGGGACAATCAAATTGTAAACTTACATAGAACCGCCAACAGAATAAGAGAACGTCCTGAAAACATAGTCCTCATCGGACTAGAACAGAATTTGAAAAACAGAGGGAATTAAACAAACACATAAGCAAATGCGGGAACTGAAGAAAACTCAAAAACAACTTGGTCCAACACGGTGCAAGCTGGTAAGTGTGTTCAACCAAAAAAGAGTAACAAAGATGCGATGCATCATAGATACAATAAGTAAATAATCTTCTATAAACATTTATAAAGACACGAAGCACAAACAGTCCCCACATCGACTTTGAAGTAAGTGGAACCCTGACATCGATCCTCACACCGGCTGCAAACCGGTCGAGTGCGACTCTTGTTGTCAAGAACTTCCACCATTCTTCGATTATGATATTTGAAAGTGTTACCAGGCTTCAGATAAACGTGAAATCCAAATAAGCAATTACGATGAATAGTGATGCAACATATGTTGCACGTGTAAAACCATTCGGACGGATTTACTTCCTTTTCGCATTCTTCACACCAATACTTGCCGTCCGTGTCTTCTCCATAGCAAAGAGTGAGAGGATGTTTATCGTATTTATAGTGTAACTCATTTGGAATCGTAGCACACTCATAACAAATGGAATACTCGCAAAGAGTACTACATTGTAGACGATTCTTGGTAAGACCTCTCTTACAACCATTGCAGCGAAAAGGTTCATGGTCGTAATTGAATGGAGCGATGAATAGAGGATGTTCATGGACTTTGTTGGTGCTATACTCAGGAATTAAAAAGCAGCAAACATCTATCTTAAACCAATTAATCTGGCAATCCTTTTTAGTGCACTTATACTTGAAACCAGTGGACATTCGCGAACAAGCTGAACACTGCAGTTTACCAATATTGGGTAGAGGAGATGGGTCGAGGACACGTGTCAGTCTAGAAAATCGAAATTTTGAATTTAGTACCCTTTGTTATACATATCTCGAGCCTAAAGAGTGCTCGATGTGAAATGATTTATTTGGATCTTAACATCATAGAAAATTAGAAACAATACAGCAATTAAACCAAAACTAAAAGAAACTTTGCAACAACTAAGATTTGCACAAACCAAAAGATTTGCCAATCATAAGAACATAAACTTAACTTTTTCCTTTCAGTTTAATATATATGTATACATTACATGTATACGTATCTAACAGTGTTGTAATTCTTACATCTAACCTCATTGAGGTTAGTTCACTCTTTCTTTATGTCTCTCTCTTTATCACACTATGTTCTTGTTCTTGCTTAGAGAGGAACACAAGAAACGTTTTTGCTTTAATCTTCTACATTGTATTAATTGGATCACAAGGATACTCTTACACAACACACATAACACATACATATAGTGGTTTATCTCCACTTGCTACTCTAGACACATGAACCTTAATCATGACTCTTACACAAGCCATACTCCTAAACACTAGGCTAACTATTGACCTTACTTCTAGATAGAAGTCATACAAGCAACGTTTAACAACTCTCGTAGACTCTTACCACTCCTACTAACAACCATTTAGACAAAACACTCTTCACTAGTTTGGGCCTTTTCACTTGTAGGCCCATCACACCAAACAGAAAAACACCAAGCCCAACTTCCTTGTTGACTTGTCTTCTGTCGTTGACTCTCTTTGTCGACTTCTTCTTCTTCTCTTTGCTCTGCTAAAGCTTTCTCTTTGTTGCAGGTTTAATCAAGGACTCAATTCCCAACAAACAGGCATACCCGATGTATGATGGCTTTCAAATATGCAAACGTACGGAAACGGTACATGCAATTGATCAATAACGTACTGCTTATGCAGATACTCAATGTATATTAGCTCGACTCCTGACCATGATAGTCCACAATCTCTATACTTGCAGGGAAAGGTGGTATTGTTCTAAGGTTCTTACAACCCGCCATTTCCAATGAAACAAGCCGAGAACATAACTTGATTTGCGAAGGCACTTTCTCTATCGCTGTTTCCCCAAGAGACATGAATTGAATCTGCGTTGAAATAAACGGAAACCTCTTCAGCTTCGAGCATCCTCTCAGATTAAGGACACTGAGGGATTCCAAGTTGATGTTGGTTGGAAGAGTCTTCAGTTTTATGCAACAAGACATGTCCAACACTTTTAGCTTATTAAGATTTTGTAAAGCAGAAGAAGGAACTGTGACCAAATTTTCGCAGAACCTAAGATACAACTTCTCCAGATTTTTTGCTCTTGAGAGGTTTGGAATATCTCCAATGTTTGTGGATGCGCTCAAATCCATATACTTGAGACTTGTCAGTGGCTGGAAACATACACAGCCAGATGAAATAAACAGAGAGAATATTTTAAGAGGATAAGATTATCCCATTAGAAACTTTGATATGATAAGCATACCTGAATACCTTCCCAAAGTTTCTCGAGCTTGCTATCTCGCATAGTAAGTTCGACAAGAAATTCAGGACGAAACTTAGAGGGCATACATTTTATAGGGTACGAATCCCAATGTAGTAATCTAAGTTTACGTGGTAGATAATCTAAGCCGTGAGGTAAGTCAAACTCGGCTGCTTTATCAGGAATACTATTGTATAGCCTCAAGAATTGGAGATTAGGCATTTTCTCAAAGGCTTTTTCACTTATATACACTTGACCATCGATTTCGGACATATCTAATGATATTCCTAAAACAGTTTTTGTACCCTGCATATATACCAAAAGAAAGAACGCAGTTAATTAATGAAACATATTAGCAAAAGTGGACATTGTGATGAGTAGGAACATGGAAAGAATGTGTCAACACTTACGGTTTCATCTGCAAGTACATCTGAAATCTCCAAAGCATCAACTATAAACTTACCTTTCCCGGGGTCGTGGAGACATTGTCCCCGAGTAATTTCTTTACCCATTTGTTGTAACAAACAATGCATTACTATATATCCATCAGCACATATATGTATAAGAGATCTGTCATTAAGGACTTTAAGTCCAAATTCTGCATCCAATGCACTAATTGCAAGCAATTCCTTCACACGATCAACCTTTTCGCCATTGAACAAACACGCGATATGAAGAAACAGAGCCTTATCTTTCTCATCTAACCCATCATAGCATGCTCCTAATAGTTTTTCGATTTTCCCATTTAGACTGGTTCTAAGCCTAGGTAGCGCGTTTATCCACTCATCCTTTCTCATCCCTCGCAAAGATGCACCTAAAATGCTGAGACCTAAGGGAAGATCTCCAGCAAGTTTTGCAACTTCAACAGCTACATCATAGTAGCCTTCTGGGGCCGAGGTTTTTCCAAAAGCAAATCGACAAAAGATATGAAAGGCTTCATCTTTAGATGGAAGACACACGTCATAGACATGATCAATCCCATGAGCTTTCAAAAGCTGTTTATCTTCTGTAATCACAATAACCCTGGTTCCATTACCAAACCATTGAGTTTGATCTGCCAAGGCATGTAGTTGTTCTACATCATCTACATCATCAAGAACAATAAGAGCTTTCTGATTCTTTAGCCTTTCTTGTGCTACACCTAAATGGCTTATATTTATATTCCTTTGGTTGAACATTTCAGAGAGAAATCTTTCTTGTAAATGCAGCTTCAGTCTGTAACCATCAAGTTTGTTTCTCTTACTGCTTCTCTTAACATTCTCCATGAAAAGATTTTGCTGAAATTCATCACCATCAGAAGAAAGTTGATTGTATAAAGCTCTGGCAATGGTGGTCTTACCGATTCCAATAGGACCCCAAATCCCTATCATCCTCACGTCATTAGACTGTAGACATAACATCGAATTCAACTTCGCGACATGAGCTTCCAATCCAACTAAATCGTCGAAATCCTTTGAAGGAGTGCAGCAATTCAGCTCTTCCGAAACATCCGCAACAATTTTCTCAATCATACTTGCTTCATTGTCCCTAATAGATAGAAAAACCGTTGTGTCTATCAAATGATTATAATGAATCTCAAAATTATACATAAAACGACAAACGAAAAGCATAAATAAAAAACATGATTTGTCTATCAAAGAGATGACCCAGCGATTTTATTTATTACTGTGATTATTGCACTAACCATTTTTCAGAGCAATAGCCAGAGACATTAGCAACATCTGTTAAAGCTTGCTTCCATCTCTGCGTCTCTTCAACTGTTCTTCCCAAGCAAGTTTTCTCAAAGACCTTCCCAAAAGCTCCTGTCTGTTTTCTAACATCGGATGGATCCACCTCATAGAAAACTGTCAGCAATGTTTGTCCCACAGCTTCCCTGCATTCCATGATCTCTAGCAACTCATCCAAGCACCAGCTTGAACCAGCGTAGTTACTTGAGAGAACGACTATAGAAATCCTTGATTCCCAGATGGCTTGTTTAAGTTCAGGCCATATGGATCGACTTCTCTTGATTCCATGATCTTTGAATGCATTGATTCCCCTAAGTTGTAGCTCCTTTTGAAGATGGCTTAGAAAGTTCTTACGGACATCTTCTCCGCAAAAGCTCGGAAAGACATGGTATCTCCACCAATGAAATGATGAAGAAGAAGGATAACAAACAGAGGAATCAGCCATGAGAAAGATCTAAAAGAGAAGTTTTTATTTTTATTGACTCTCGCCAATCAAATCGGACAATTATCTCACGAACGATGATGCCATTTTCAAGTGGGGAATCTTGTAAAGTCAATGACGCCGGCCATCCTTTAAAAATTTTCCACATGCCAATTTTTTTGCCACATCCCAGATTTTTTTTAAAAATTAAAAAACGTACTCAAACAGGAATTTGTCTTGGTCGTGTAGACCCTAGAGCGTCGTCCCTTACAATCGAATCAAGTTCCAATGGAACAGAAACAAAAGAGTGAAAACCCAAAGGTAAAGAAAAAACATAGTTTGCTAATCCATCTGCTAGACGATTAGCTTCCCTATACACGTGAACAACTCGGACTATCCAGTCCTTTACGATAAAGCCATAACACAAACGTACCAGGAAAAACAGCGGATGTGAATCATTAATCCCTGTCTGCAAAAACCCAACAACTAATTCCGAATCCACCTCCAACTCCACCCTCGTAACTTTCTTCTCCCAAGCAATATAAAGACCGTAATACACACCCCATAATTCTGCCAGCGGTGCGGAACATCTCCCAATATCAAACGCGAATCCTCCACACCAATTGCCATCCCCATCCCGTAAAACTCCTCCTGCAATAGCCAAACCATGATTACCTCTCGAAGCCCCGTCCGTATTAAGCTTCATCCATCCAACCTGTGGAGAAACCCATCCTATCATTCTCTCCACTCGGGCCCGCCTTGGATTATGTCCTGCCTTAGAGATTTTTTTGCCTCATCTTGTGACACCCTTTAGAACACCCTTAAAAATTAGAACGTGAAGGCTCAGTTTTGCTCAATCAATTGGGGTCTAGGGTTTAATAAAAGAGAAATTACATTTCTGGTCGATCCCGTTATTATGTAGATATATTTTTATTTGTCACAATAATCTTACTTCCAAGACTAAGACGCTGAATTAGATTTCTCAAAGCTTGTAGCTCTATTGAACTCACATGATTAAGTATGAGAAGGACTCTCTGGTGCATTATCTTGCGCCAGCTTCCTTGTAGGTACATAGCTTTTGTTTCTTCACTTCTTCTTTTTAAAAAACTGTATCCATTATTTAAATACTTCTACCTGCATAGAACAAAGTAGAGAGAAGAGTCTCAACTCGAGAGGTAAGTCTTGGAGGACTGCAAAGAAAGATCCACATAGCAGAGTTAGAACATTTCGAAGAAGAGTAGTGATATGGATGAAAAATCTCTTCTGTTTTTGGGTAACCAGGTGATTGAGCCTCCTATACTAACTCTGCATTATCATAGTGTGTGCATCAGTGAGAATCTGTGTGATCTCGGCTAAAAGAAGAAGAATAATTTGAACCACTTAGTGATGGATGCAAATGTTTATCCTCTATCTTTGGACTCCTCAATGCTCTGTTTTTTTCTTCTTCTTCTCTAATGATCTGTTTTATGTCTTGGTCCATGTTAATTTTTTTGCTTAGGCAAGCTAAACATTAATATTTCCAAGCTAACTTTGGTAATCTAAGCTCATAAGAACTAATATAAAAGCTAGAAAGACTGCATAGGCAAAAGACCAAGTCTAAAAAGTCGTGAATGAAGTTATTGGTAGTCAGACTCATCAACAATTTACAAAAAAGCATAATTTTAGTAGGAATGACTAAACAATATGTTGGAGAATCAAGAAGAGATTAAACAAATTCATAATTTCCTTCCTGTGATCATATTAATATAGTGCATATATATAGTTACTATGCATACAATTGAACCAAACTTAATATATCTTGTCTCACATTGGAATATGAGGGACGCTGAATGGTTGATTGAGAGGAGCTATTTAAGCTAAAGGTCGGTGAGATTCGAGAAAAAGGAGAGACAAATAGACCAATCACCTTTTGAAGAAAGAACAAAAGCAATTTGCTTAAAATCTGACATGTCCTTGGTGGCATTGAGTGTCATCCACCCACCTTCAATCTCCTTGTGTATACTAAAGTCTAAAGCTATTAAAGAACCATAAGAGAGAATCTTCAATTAGTCAAAAGCAACTTAGAAAAACAAAAGCCGAAAGTAAGAGAATTACGTAATCTGTGACCAGAAAGAGAAACATATGAATGTATTTCAATTAACAAACCGAAAAAGGGAAAGCAAAATGGGAAAACTACAAAAGAAATAGTAAACAAAGTGTGAATTGACAGGAGTTGCTTCTATATCAAGTTAAGAATCTCACGTATTAAAAAAAAAAAAAATTCTATGGCTTAACTCAAAATATGTATGGTCGAAAACTAAAATCTTTACACTCAGTACAAAAATGAAAATTCACAAATTCTTAAACACTGATTCGATTGAACAGTTTTGAATGTGCATGCAACAACTGCGACATCTGTCATATTTTTCTCCCATTCTTCAAGTATCTTCAGTGAATATCTCAATAAAACTACAGTTCATATTTACTATTTTTACATATAAACACAAAAACACAGGCTCTTTCCTATCAGATGCACCTAAAATAATTTAATTTAACTTGTCCTACTTTTTGATTCTTTCACACTTTTTTCTTACCATTATTAGGCCACTAATCCTGCAAATCAAACCTCTTCTCTCTTTACACGCTCTATCTCTTTTCTATCTTTTCTATCTTTTCACAAAGCCATCTTCAGACAAATTCAGCCTAGTTAAATCCTATGCATGCATTGACACACAGTTTTCATAAGAAAAAACAAAATGGCAACAACTCGGAAGTTGGTCGTAGAAGTAGTAGACGCAAAGGATCTTACACCAAAAGACGGCCATGGAACGTCAAGCCCGTACGTTATTGTCGACTATTACGGCCAAAGACGACGAACACGAACCATAGTCCGTGACTTAAACCCTGTTTGGAACGAGACACTCGAGTTCAGTCTCGCAAAGCGACCTTCTCATCAGCTCTTTGCCGATGTTCTTGAGCTTGACATGTACCATGACAAGAACTTTGGGCAAACCCGGAGGAACAATTTTCTCGGTAGGATCCGACTTGGGCCCGATCAGTTTGTTGGTAAAGGAGAAGAGGCTTTGATATATTATCCTTTGGAGAAGAAGAGTTTGTTTAATCTTGTGCAAGGTGAGATTGGTCTTAGGGTTTACTACGCCGATGAAAAGCCTCCTCCTTTGAAACCGACGGTAGCTCCTCTTGAGACGGTGGTGGAGGAAAAGACGGAGGAGACGATGGCAGACGGTCCAGACAAGTCTCAGCCACCACCAGAGACTAATGATGATCCTGCTGAAGTTAAAGAAACCCCGGAACCACCTCAACCGCCACCGGAGGAGAATTCGCCAGCCGAGGGTCTTAAGCCAAACGAGGAAGCCTCACCACCGTTACAAGAAAATGTTACGGTTGGTGGAGAAGAACCAGCGGCGTCGGAACCAACTCTGCCACCGGAATCAGATAAGAATAAAGCAGACGTGAAACCGGTGGAAGAGCCACCGCAGAACCAACCAGACGGTGAAGATGTTGTACTTGAGTCAGAAGATTCAATGAGCTGGGCTTCGGCGCCGCGATCACCGGAAGTTATCATTTCAAGATCTGTCTCCGGTTCCATACCAGAAATCAAAAACGGACCACAACCACTACGGAGAAGCATATCGGAAACAGCCAGCTACACATCAGAGATCTCCGACGTGTCAACGATCGAACGATCCACGTTTGATTTGGTGGAGAAAATGCATTACGTCTTCGTCCGAGTCGTGAAAGCTCGGTCTTTACCAACCTCCGGGAGTCCAATCACAAAGATCTCACTCTCCGGCACAATGATCCAATCAAAACCCGCCAGAAAAACCTCTTGCTTCGAGTGGGATCAAACCTTCGCCTTCCTCCGTGACTCACCGGATTTATCTTCTTCTCCAATTCTAGAGATCTCCGTGTGGGATTCATCGACGGGATTCGAAACTAGCCAATTCCTCGGTGGAATTTGCTTTGACGTGTCAGAGATTCCGCTCCGAGATCCACCGGATAGTCCATTGGCGCCACAATGGTACCGTCTCGAAGGAGGTGGAGCTCACAACAGTGATCTAATGCTTGCCACGTGGACAGGAACTCAAGCAGACGAATCATTTCCCGACGCTTGGAAAACAGATACCGCCGGAAACGTAACCGCACGGGCGAAGGTTTACATGTCGTCGAAGCTGTGGTATCTACGCGCCGCCGTGATCGAAGCACAAGACTTGTTACCGCCACAGTTAACGGAGTTTAAAGAGGCGTCGTTTCAGTTAAAAGCTCAGTTAGGTTTCCAAGTGCAGAAAACCAAATCCGCCGTTACTCGTAACGGAGCGCCGTCATGGAACGAAGATCTACTCTTCGTAGCCGCCGAGCCATTCTCCGATCAGCTTGTTTTCACACTGGAGTATCGAACATCGAAAGGGCCAGTCACCGTCGGTATGGCGCGCGTGCCTCTCACTTCAATCGAGAGACGCGTCGATGATCGTTTGGTGGCTTCGAGATGGTTCGGATTCGAAGATCCAAACGACGAGAAAAGAGGAAACAGATCTAGAGTACATCTGAGACTCTGTTTCGACGGTGGTTATCACGTGATGGACGAGGCGGTACACGTGTGCAGTGATTATCGACCTACGGCGAGGCAGTTATGGAAACCGGCGGTAGGAATCGTCGAGCTCGGTGTAATCGGTTGCAAGAATCTGTTGCCGATGAAGACGGTGAACGGAAAAGGTTCCACGGATGCGTACACGGTGGCGAAATACGGTACTAAATGGGTCCGTACCCGAACCGTGTCGGATTCTTTAGATCCGAAATGGAACGAACAGTACACGTGGAAAGTATACGATCCGTGTACGGTTTTGACGATTGGAGTCTTCGATAGCTGGGGAGTATTCGAAATCGACGGTGGAAAGGAAGCCACGCGTCAGGATCTCCGTATCGGTAAAGTTCGTATACGTATATCTACGCTGGAGACTGGTAAAGCGTATAGAAATACGTATCCCCTTCTGATGCTAGTTAACGGCGGTGTTAAAAAACTGGGAGAGATAGAATTGGCCGTTAGATTCGTGAGATCAGCTCCACCGTTGGATTTCTTACACGTGTATACTCAACCGTTGTTGCCTTTGATGCATCACATTAAACCGTTGAGTTTGATTCAAGAAGAGATGTTGAGGAACGCTGCCGTGAAGATTTTGGCCGCTCATTTGTCACGATCTGAGCCGCCTTTAAGGCCGGAGATCGTACGGTACATGCTCGACGCCGATTCTCACACTTTCAGTATGCGTAAAGTCCGAGCAAATTGGCTCCGCATTGTTAACGTGGTCGCCGGAATGGTCGACATAGTGCGGTGGGTGGATGACACGCGTTTCTGGAAGAATCCGACATCGACTTTACTAGTTCACGCTCTTGTCGTGATGCTGATTTGGTTCCCGGATCTCATAGTTCCGACATTAGCGTTTTACTTGTTCGTGATCGGCGCGTGGAATTACAGATTCAGGTCACGTGCTGCTCTTCCTCACTTTGATCCAAGACTCTCGTTGGCTGATGCAGCCGATAGAGAAGAGCTTGACGAGGAGTTTGACGTCGTACCGAGCAACCGGCCGCCGGAGATGGTTAGGTTGAGGTACGATAAGCTACGAAATGTCGGAGCTCGAGTTCAGACGATTCTTGGTGAAGTAGCGGCGCAAGGAGAGAAAATGCAAGCTTTGGTGACGTGGCGAGACCCACGAGCGACGGGTATATTCGTTGGGCTGTGTTTATTTGTGGCGTTGGTGTTGTATCTTGTGCCGACGAAGATGGTGGCTATGGCGTCAGGGTTTTATTACTTCCGGCATCCTATATTCCGTGACCGGAAACCTTCTCCTGTGTTAAACTTCTTCCGGCGACTACCTTCGTTATCTGATCGGCTCATGTGATCTTGGTGTTTTTTTGAAGCTGATGTATATATTTTGGGTCGTTTAAACTTATTGGGCCTTATTATTGGGTTATATGGGCCACTAATTGGTTTTCATATCATTTCCTATTTAGGTGCTTTATTTGACGTTGTCTAAACAAAAACGTGTTTGGTATATGACAAAATTATGAACCTACTTTTTTTTAGCTGAGTGATAAATGTGCGGAAATGAAACCAAACAGTACTTACGAATATTGTTGTTGGTGACTAAAATAAGTAAGTTATCCACTGCTCAAGTTCGTAAGTACTGTTTCACCAACAACAATATTCGTAAATTTGACTAAAATAAGTAAGTTATCCACTACTTTTTTTTTTGACATTTTTGGATCGACAAACCCGATCCATATCCAATCTCTACTAGGCAGATTAACGCGATTTAGTGGAATCGAATTCCAGTAGAAAAAACGGAGTTAATTGTACTTATCCATTTGACTAAAAGCACGTCCCATCATTTAATTTTAATAATCAATATTCCAGAAAAATAAAATAATAAACTGGTCTTAAAAATCCAAGTCCAACAGTTGAATATTCTAAGATTTGGTTAAAGGCGCTAGCTTTAGTCCATAGAGGCATAGAGAGTAAACAATACATCCTTCATAGAATTCTCTCCCTCCTTCAATTTTCTCTAGTTTCTGGTTAAGTAATCGAGCGATGGTTATTGCGGTGGCGGCAACGAGCTCCATAGTTTCCGGAATCAAGCTTTCAGGGATCTTAACTTCTTTCAACGCCGTAGATGATGCGTCAAGTAGTTGCAGAAGAACCAACTTGACCGGAGTTAGAATTTTTCCGACATTGAGTCGGCGAAGATTCTCATCTATCGGAGCTTTGTCCCCAATTCGTGGGCATGCCCAATCTTCCTTTAGTCGCAGGTAAAGCTTCGATTTTTGGGTTTAGGTGTCTGCTTATTAGAGTAAAACACATCCTTTGAAATTGTTTGTGGTTAATTGGTTGTGCTCTTGATCCATTGAATTGCTGCAGCTCTTTCGCTTTCCCTCAGAATCTCGGTTTGAGCGGTGGTTTTAGTGCAGCTGAAGCTCTGCCACCTGCTTGTGAAAATGCCAGCCCTCCTTCCATCAAATCTTTCAACCAGGTGACAGATTTTTTCAGGATAAGTTTGTGATTTGATCTCTTGTCTCTAAGTCTCTTGATTGCTGAACTGTTCAGGGTTTTGATTAATCTAGTAGTTAATGTATGTATCTGCGTTCTGAGTTGGATTGAGTTGATAATTTAAAGCATTTTTATCTGTGTTCTGAGTTGGATTAATCTCGAGCTTCATGTTGACTAAACATGTTTGGTCCTGTGTGTTCTTTAAATTTCATTTGTATGGCTGGAAGAAGTTGATGGTTTTCTGGATTTGAGTAAAAGTGTATTACTCAATAGGTTTAAAGCATTTTTATTTTGGTTGAGCTTCCAATGGCTTTGAAGACTGAGATTTAGATCATGAGATTACTATGTTCTCATTATGTGCTTGCTCTGTTCTATTGTTTTTTCTTTCTCAGTTGATTGAAACTTTGATTGATCGGGTTGATCTATCTGAATCTGAGGCTGAATCATCTCTTGAGTTTTTGCTGAACGAGGCAAACGAGGCCCTGATTAGTGCCTTTCTAGTTTTGCTGAGAGCTAAAGGAGAGACATATGAAGAAGTAAGTATCAATCAAGTCAATCTTATATTACATTATCCTATATTACAGCACTTCAATAAGTAAACATTCGGATAGATTGTGGGGTTGGCTAGGGCAATGATGAAGCATGCCAGGAAAGTGGAAGGATTAGTTGATGCTGTGGACATAGTTGGAACAGGTGGTGATGGAGCAAACACAGTCAATATATCAACTGGATCTTCAATACTTGCTGCAGCTTGTGGTGCAAAAGTAGCAAAGGTATAACGAATGAGAAAATCCTCAAAAGAATTATATATTTAAATTCGAAAATTTGCATTAACTGTAA